TGATGTAGGACATCTGACTAGAGCTCCTGGCTCCTGGCTTCAGCCTGGCCCAATCCTGGCTATTGCAGCTATCAGGGGAGTGAACCAGCAGATGGAAGTGCTCTCCCCACGCTGTGTGTGTGTGTGTGTTTCTCTCCCTCTCTCTTTATAAGTTTGACTTTCAAAAAAGAAAGAAATCTTTAAAAAGGTGAAAATATGTATTAAAAGCAGAAACACAGCCATATCAATAATTAAGACTAACTGCTATATTAGAGTGTGATAATCAGGATCCAATGAGGAAATAGAAATCATACCACTTATTTTAGTAGGGAGAATTTAATATAAAAAATTACTAACTAGATATTAGAGAATCAAAAAGAAGCAGTAACCACAGGAAGCAGAAATCACCTCCAGGGCTGGAGAGACAATGAGAAGTCTAGAATACTTGGAATTTGGAGGAGTGATCTCCAGGCATAGTGCTCAGACCTTAGAAGACAGATTGGTATAGGTATCTCTCAGAGTACACCATAAAGCTGGCTCTGGGGGTCAGAAACACAGATGCAAACTGGAACTATTCTTTTATGCTGTTCCAGGTGCCAACAGAACAGAGAGAAAACAGAAAAGAGCAAAATCTGTCTTCTGTCCCAGTCTTTCCCCAAAAACCCTGTATTGGCAAAGCCCAGCTGGCAAATCAGAAATGTGATTTTCAAATGCTGGTTCCTGCACCACAAAAACTGAAGAGCGTGGATGTGAAACTGAGCGACAGCTCTTTAGTGACCAGCGCAGGCAGCACAATGGGCAGCAGTGAGGGACCTGGCAGCGTGAAATGCTTGTGTGGGGATACAGGAGAGAAAATGCTTTCCAGGTTGGCTGGGATAGTGGGCAGACAACTTGGAATGTTGAACAGAGCCATTTAGGTTTGAATTTTTAGGGGATTTATAGACTAGGAGAAAGGGTGGGATTCGGAGTCATGACTGTATTATGTTCATTTGGTTGTGTCCTTTAGACAATGCCTTTTAAAAACATTTCAGTGATTAGATGGATAAATGGATGATTGTTTTTTAGAGAAAATATTTATTTATTTATTTTGAGAGGCAGTGGTTGAGGGAGAGATATCTCTTATCTGCTGATTCATTCTTCAAATGATGGTAACAGTGAGGGCTGGGACTATGTTGAATATGGGAGCCAGGAATTCAGTCCAGGTCTCACATGTCGGTAGCAAAGACCCAAGTACTTGAACCATCAACTGCTGCCTTCCCGGATGCACATTAGGAGGAAGCTGGCATTGGAGGTGAGGTTAGGACTTGAACCCCAGAAACTCCAATCTGAATTGTGGACCTCCATACTGGTGTCTCAACTACCATGTCAGAGGCCCACCCCAGATGATGGTTTTAAGAGAATGTTTCTTTCTCAGGGACCAATGGAAAGACACAGTAACCAGTCAAGTTTTAAAGCATGACAGGGAGGATTTGTATAGCAGAGAAGTGCAGCTGGAATTTATGAGATTAAAATTTAATGTAAATTTCCCATTAGACTACAAATGGACAACTATAGTTTCCTTCACTTGTCTGTTGGCCTCCAAAGGAGAAACTGTCACATTTGCCTTTGTATCTGCTGGGTTTCTAAGATTGAATCAGAGTAAGTTCTCAATAGGTGTTAAGTAGCTCTACTTATCCGGTGATTTTTAAAAACATAAAATCCCTAAGCCGAAGATCATGCGTGTGTTTATCCAGAGAAGAATCGGTCTCACTACAGTTAATGTGTACTTGGCATTGATAACGTGAGTAGGTTGCATACAATATCATATCCTACCAACCCATGGCAAGGCTTCACAAAAGTGTTATATTTGCCAGCTTTCCTCAGTAATCTTTCCATGCAACAAATAGTCCTCCAATATCAGTGGCTTATGAAATAAATCACCTTTATATTACCTGTTGGTGGCTGTAGGTTAATGGCTTTGACATGTGCATGAGCTCTGATCTAGGTTAATGGAGAGATTTTGGTGTGTTCCCCACACTTTCTTAATTCTAGAGTCTAAAGTAAAGGAGAAGCCCCTTGTGGAACAAATCCATTATCATTATGATAGGGGACAGCCAAATTTAAAGATCACCTCCAAAAACCTTGTGTCATAATTAGCATATGTCCCAATTATTAAATCAAATTCTGTCAAATTGTAGTTTCTTCCTTCACTGGGTTAGGAAATAATGAATGTTTGCAATCAATTATTACAATATACTTGAGCTTTTGTGAAGGTACAAATGTGAAAAACAAGCACCTGACCTTGTGAATAATATTCTGATTATACTATCATGACTGATCTTAATAAAAGCAAATTCAGATTTAATGGAATAGTTTTGCAGACCCTTCAATTAATAACAGATGAGGGATTCTACCTTTTTCATCTTTTCTTGGTACCTAACACAATAAGTATAAGTGTGTATGACTGAGCCTTTGGTTTATATATTTAATAATTTATTCCTTTAATAAGTTATATTCATTGACCATTGTTATGTGCCAGACATTGTCCCAAGGCTGTATATAATTAGTACATAGAAGGTACAAAGTATTTCCTTTGTGGAGTTTACATTCCAGGAGAAAAGCTAAATGAGTTACAGACACTATTAATTATTAAGTTCCACTTGTGACAAGTGTTTAAGAAAAGGGAGTGAGATGAGAACATTTGATGGGAGAGCCCCATTCAGCCCTTGGGAAGTAATGTGTAAGCAGAGAGTTGCAAAAAGAGTGGGAGTGGCTGGGGCCAGAGAGGTGTTAGAGGGGGAGGGAATATGAGGGCACATGTGGCACCCAAGACAGAACAAGTGCGACTGGGGCTTAGTGAGCTAGAATAGAGGCAGGGAACCTGGGGATACAATGGTGAGCAGGAGATTTGTAGGACTAAATAGGGACTGTTGACTGTATTCTATGGCTATTGGAAAGCCACTGAGGCGTGTTAAGCAGAGTTGTTAAATGTTTGTTGAGGAATAAATTAATCAACGAGTAATGGGATATCTGAGTTACCAATATGGTAACTATATCAAACGAGCAGAGAAACGGGAATTTTTGATGATTCTATACAGTTGTCTTTTTTTTTAAAAGATTCATTTATTTATTTGAAAGGCAGATTTACAGAGAGGCAGAGGCAGAAAAAGAGTCTTCCATCCACTTATTCCCTCCCCAGATGACCACAAAGGCCAGAGCTGAGCTGATCCGAAGCCAGGAGCCAGGAGCCAGGAGCTTCTTCTGGGTCTCAAAAACGAGTGCAGGGACACAAGGACTTGGGCCATCCTCTACTGCCTTCCCAGGTCAAAGCAGAGAGCTGGATCAGAAGTGGAGCAGCCTGGACTCAAACCAGTGCCCATATAGGATGCCGGTGCTGCAGGTAGTGGCTTTACCTGCTATGCCACAGTGCCAGCCTCTATACAGTTGTCTTAATTTTAGAGAATAATTTCTTTCCAGGTAGTGCATAATTGTGTGTGTGTGCATGCATATACACACAGCATACTGGAGATATATTTTTTACATCTATACATCTATCCATTCATCATCTATGAGGGATTTATTTGCTGTTTTAGGCCCATTTCCTATTAACAGAAAGTGTTACATAAACAAAAAGAGAGGTTAACTTTGTAACTTATGAACAATGGAGAACAGTACAACTCATCACAAATAAGGGCCACTATTAAACAAATGCATAATTTTAAATGCTAAGGAAAGTGTGGTAAATGAGAGAAGAGATTTTTTAAAAGTAATGGTACAGATTTAATTGTTGAAAGTTAATAGTACATGGGGCTGGCGCTGTGGAGTACCAGGTAAAGCCGCATCCCATATGGGCGCTGGTTCAAGTCCTGGCTGCTCCACTTTCTATCTAGCTCTCTGCTATGGCCTGGGAAAGCAGTGAAGGATGGCCCAAGTCCTTGGGCCCCTGCACCCATGTGGGAGACCTGGAGGAAGCTCCTGGCTCCAGGCTTCGGAATGGCATAGCTCCAGCTGTTGTGGCTACTTGGGGAGTGAACCAGAGGATGGAAGACCTCTCTCTCTCTGCCTAAATCTTTAAAAAAAAAAAAGAAAGTTAATAGTACATATAAAAATTCTTTTTTCTGGTTTATTGAGGAAAACTGAATATATATAAATATAATTTATACATATAAATATATATTATATAATATGTAATATATATTATAATATATGTTATATAACATATAACATATATCATATAATATATGTTCTATAATAATATGTATTTATAATAAATATATATTTAAGGTGTACAGTGTGACATTTTGATATATGTGTTCACTGTGAAGTGATTGTCATAGTGAAGCTAATGAACACATCAATCATTTGTAAAGATTCTTAAAAAAATTTCTCCAAGGCTGCCACTTTTATTATATTATAAGCCAGTGTAATACTGTGTGCTATTCATAATGGGTGGTTGAATCATATACAGTTATAGCTAATCAAAAACCATTGCAAATGTATTTACTCTCTAAACACTTTCATATTTCATTACAAATGGCCGATTGAACACTTCATATCCATTACAGTATTATATTTCCATTCAATTTACTATTAAAATTTCAAAAACAGCTACAGTGTAATAGTAGCTATTGTGCATTATAAATATTTCATCACTTCTCTAAGGTAATCTATTTCTCATTTGTTTGCCAAAAGTTATGAAGTTCTTATTAAACATTGATAAATAATATTGCAGCATATGATGTGAAATATCATTGTCTAGAAAAATCAGCCTATTTGAAACTTTGAAGTTAGTGATACTTGAATCTGCGTTATGCAGTCTTTATAATTCATTACTGCTATGTCATTGTATTGGTGGAAAGTGGACAGTTTCAGTGAAAGCTTCTTGTTATACAAAGTTAATTAGGTGTTTGCCTAGAAGTCAGTGAGGCTGGAGGGTAGGAAGAAACACTGCTGTTTTCCATCTAGAATCACAGACAGTCTTCAGGTCTGCTATGCCCAATGTTCATTATATTTTTCTTTTATTTTGCCCATTTCTTTTTGAGCATCATCTTATTCAACATTTCCAGAGCTGGTGCTGAAGCCACTTCTCCTATGGGTTGAGAGAGACATATGATCATTTGTGGCAAGAAAAAATGTCAGACAGGTAAACAACAAAAAACACCACAAAAACTCTTCTGTGTTATAGCTCAGTCACTCTTCTGGTAGGGACAGAGCTGGGGTCCATGTCCACAACTCTTGACTCCCAAGACTAACCTTCCTCTCATGGATGTTATGAGGACTTTTCTTTCCCTGTATTTTACCCTCCAGACAAAAGGTAATCCTTATATTCTTATGAAATTTCAATGTTGGTCATGGTTCTTAGTTTCCTGAGTGAATTATTTGAATTGTGTCGTCACTTTTTTCTGTCATTATTTTCTTCCTAAGCTTGATGATTTTCAGGGAGAGGCTATGAATGAAGTGAGCATATTCTCCAATGCATAGGGTATAAAAATACTTGTATGTATTAAACGCATGTCCAAAAATGTAAAATTATATAAAATGCTAATTTATAGAGCTACTTTTCATGTTAGAGCCACTTAGCTCAATTCCAAATTCAAATTCACTTTCTCATGAGCAACTGAGTGAAAGTTTTGTTTTACTTAGTGAAGATTTTCTAGGAAAGACACCCATGATAGTTGTCTTGTTTATTTACAAGGAAAGGGTGACAGGCCATATATAACTCCCTGAGAAAAATCTGAGACTATGGAGAGAAAGATGTTACTTTTTCTTTAGTGGTTGGTAATGAAGGAACCATTCTGATTATGTTTAAATGGATGCTCGGTAAGGCATCAACTTTATGGGTCCAGAGAATTGTAATGGGCCTCCTATTAAAAACCACATAAACCCTCTATTGACTCTAATGACTTCTATCTTTTGGAAGTTGGTATTCTTTCTTTATTCCATATGGGACTTATTACCCTGAGGGAAAGCTAATAAGCTCTCCTCCAGACCTGCTTTGCCATGAAGCCTTGTTAAATTTCAAGACTAATAGGAAATGAATTGATCTAATAAAAGATACCTTAACAACTCAAAAAATCATAGAGAAAAATTTGAAAAGGCAACTGGCAATAGTATTAAAGAACAACTTTAGATATTAGCTATAAAGCTCATAATGATCTAGGTTTTTAAATATATAAATTGCTAAATAATTTGCTTGTCCTGATGATGCATGCACACTTCCACCTTATCTATAATAGCTCCATGATTAACTGTTTGGGATAGCATTCATGGTAACTGGGAGCTAAGAAGTTGGTTGTCAGCTTTCACAAAGTGCTGGTAATTAACTTCCCAAAGCACCTCTACTGTTGGGTAAAAAATAGGCTCTACAAATTTATGCCATGCCATTCTGTATGACAGAAGCTCATCCATCCTCTGATTTCCAACAAAACATTGGAAACAGGTTGAGTTTCTTGAAAAATCTAACCCCAAATTGACATTTATATAAGACCAATTCTTTTATAATTGCGATGACTCACTTTGAAAGTGGTGTATAGTAACAAACTTAGCAGATATTTTGAGCTGACTAGGAGTGCAAATTCTTATAATTTGACATTGTTTCCAGGGGCTCTAGAGAAAGAGAAATCTAAGTCACAGGAAGGCTAAGGATTTTTAGTTGCTATTTGGGGACTCCTGGGGAGCTCAGATGGGGGAGGGCTGTCATTTCTACAATTTGTAATGGGATGGTTGGCACAAACAGCATGGTAAGAATCTGAGGAAAATGGGAAAAAATAGTTTCTCATCTTTTGTGCTAAAAAGAAAAATATACTGCCATGTTTTGTAAAGGACAGTTAACAAAAAGTAAATACAGCACAGTTCTACCCATAACTCTTCTCAGAATGATATTTTCTTTTTGGAGGGCATATGAAAATCTATTACTGTGTTTTCACCACCAGAATTTATGATCTTGGTCTTTCCTTCTTGCTTTTGTATGGAGCCAAAATAGATATTGCCAACTTTGACAACCCTGAAGTAGACTTTAGGAATTCCACTAACAGCTTGACTAACAGCACACATTGGGCACAAAGCCATGATTTTCTTGTCATTCTTGATCAGCTGGATCCTGGCATAATTCCTGATGACAGAACTCCCCCCTGCATGAGAAGCACCTCCAAAGACTTCACCTTCAGGCTGTGCCCAAGTGGGACATTCTGCACTGTTTGTTGTGATACTTCTTATCCTGTCGCTGACTAATGAGCTTCCTGAAGGTAAGAAAACCCCAACAGTTGCCCATCTTCTCGACACCACAGCTTGAGCAAAAAGCATGATATAGTCTTTACTTAAAAAAAAAATTTATTTTACTTATTTCAAAGGCAGAGCAACAGGGGGAGGGAGGGAGGGAGAGAGAGAGAGAGAGAGAGACAGAGACAGAGACTCCCATTCACTGGGTCACTCCCCACATGGCCATACAGCGGGGGCTGGGCAAGTCTGAAGTCAGGATGTCAGGATCCAGGAACTTAATCTGGGTCTCTGACTCTGGTGCTTTCCTAGGCACACTCTTTTAGGTAGCTGGATTGGAAGTGGAGGAGCCAGGACTCAAAGTGGTGCCCTGACATGGGATGCCAGCAGTGCAAACAGTGGCTTAACCTGCTGTGCCACAATGCAGGCCCCCATGAAATATTCTTTAAACACAAATAATTACATGCAAGTTAATGCTTTTCTTTAAAAAGTGTCATTACTGGTCTATTTTTATGGATACTGAGGATGTTCCCTGAACTACTGTACTTTTTCTTTGAATAGAGATGGCAAGAGTTTTCAGTGCTAAGCGTCCAATGCTGACATCACTTTGGACATGTCTTAAAACCTCCCTCATTTTCAGTTTTTGTCATTTTTAAAATGGAGTCAATAACAGCTGCCATGTTATTCCCCAAGTTTGGTGTGCCACTGAGTTGAGATTTATTAAAGGAAATGGTGCTAATTGAAGAACTAGACAATGTAAACAGAAAGAGAGTTCCAGCTGAACCTTATTTGAGGATGTATAGTGAATTTCTCTGTACATTTCTTTTTCACTCCTTAACATCTGTTTGTAAGACCTAATTCTGCTTATGAAGATAATGCCGTGAAGAAAGACTTAGTAATTTTGAGATCTAAGAAGCTAAGTTATCCCACTGTCTTTTCCAGATGTGATTTCAAACATTTCTCCTTGTTTCTCTGGCATTTCTTTGTTGTTGAGGCCTCATTATAAATGATGTGTTAGGTGGACTGACAAACACACAACAATCAATAGTTCAATTTCTTAGGTAAAGCAGATGGATTGGCATAATATTTGTAGCAATGAAAAAGTTGTATGATAGGTATATTGTGGTTTTGAGGCCAATTATAGATAGCAAGCTTGCAATCACTGCAAATAAAACACATTAGAAGGAAAAGAAAATTCAAGCACCAAATCTTAGTGTTCTGAAACGCGATCTTTGTGACAATAGAATTATTGTGGTAGAGGAAAGGGACCTGACTGCTTTTTATATATATCTTTCTTTATGTACTGGTGAGTGGATATTGAGGACAGTGGCAGCAATGGTGAATGGCTCCCATAGCAGCTTCACATGTGCCTTGTCAAGGGCATCCTAGATGCCGGGTGTGGTGCAGAGTATTTGCATGCATTTCACATTCACTCTTCTAAACACTGTCAGACACTCCTTACCCTATTTTACAGAACAGGGATTAAAGTTTGCAGAGGTCAAATTATTTACTCAAAGATACATAGCTGGCAAGGAGAGATGGCAGGCAATGGAGCCAGGTCAGTATGATTCTAAATTCTCAATGTTTTGAAGTTCTCCAACATCCTATAAATCCTCAAAAGCTATGAGTGCCTTTGTATTTATATTTCAAGGTACCAATTTTTTGTGTAACTCATTGGGGTCTGAATCCTCTGTATTGTTTCAGATTTATTTTTCTTTGCCTTATTGGAAAAACAAAAAGAAGGGAAGCAAGAAGAGAAGGAAAGAAGATAAGAAGGGAATAAGGGAGGAAGAAAGAAAAGCTCACTTAGGTTAAATCTATTTTTGAGGATTTTAGTTCGTATTCTTGATGGGATGATATACTTCTGTTTTTAAAAATTATCTGTTCCCCTTCTGTAACCAGTTTGTTAATCATGTTTTGGTGACTGGCTGTTGGGCACCTTTCCCAGAAACTTTAAGTCAACCCTTAATAAACACTAATAAGGCTGCATGAAAAGGCAGCCTATTATTATTCATGGACAGTATTACGTAGAATTAAACTTTTGGAGACTGCACCAAACACATTCAGCTAGACATGAAAGTAAGCTGAATTTCCATTTGGTTTGCTTCTTGCTGAGCCTTCAAATTATAAAGTGAAGCAAAGCCAAAAGATTAATACAATGAAAACAAAGATTGGGAAATTAAATGACACGATGCAATTTTCTGCCTCATCGGGCTGGCACCAATAATATGCAAAGGAAAGTCTGCTTAGTGTTGGTTAGCTGTTGTATAAATGCAGGACAATCAGTCTCCTTCTCGAGGGAGACTATTTTCTTGAATCATATAGCCATTGACTCTTCCAATTACCAGAGCTCCCACGCACAGTGCAGCTTTATCTGTTTTTTTTTTTTTTTAACTTGATGCTCTACTCTGTCATGGTATTATTATTAGCATTTACACAGCTTTTATGTTATCTGAAATATTTTAGTGATAGCTTTAGGGCATACATAAAAACCTAGACCCTACTGCCATACTCCTAATTAAATAATAATAATATATTTGGAAAATGGATCTTTATGGGTAGTTGAAAGCCATAATGGACTATCTTTAAATCACACCTGTCGGAGGAACATTAGCTCGTGGTTGATGTCTCACATTTGGGCTTCTATTGATGTGCTACCCATATGTATCATTGCTGATCATTGTCAAGAATCATTCGAAACTGATTTGGGTGATAAGATACAGCTCTAAGCCACCCCTAATGTTATTTGAAATTGCTTTTATAACAGTTGTATTCAAAGGCTGTCATGTCTATGCTACCCAAATTCTCCAAGTGATTCAGAAGTCATCTGGAGAATTAAATTGTGCATTAACTTTCAAATCTTCCTCTAATTCTGCCACACAATACAAACCAGTCAACACCAATCAATCTCCTGCCAAGTGTGAAGCATTATACCTGATCTGAGAAAGGTAAAATGAAGATCAGACTGCCACAGGCTTCCAGCACCTTGGAGAGAGATTGTTCTCTCTTGGTGTCATCTGCAGACACAAACACAAGCCAGTAAAGTGCTTGGTTGCCCATTTACTTCCCCCTTCCAAGCCTTCCAAGGACTTCAACGAGATTCTTGGTTTTTTTTTTTTTTCCAGAAGCTAATTCCTTCAAAAGGGAAATGTGCATTTTCATCTGGTGGAATGATGGAGGACAAAATATGCAAAGGAAATAATATCTACTAACAAGTTTAAGCACTTCTTTACTTGTTTGGTGGTCTGTGCTTATTTATTTTGCCCTGGAATTTCCTATAAAAACTATTTTGATTTCAGACATTTTTCTTCCCTTTATACTTTTCAATTGTCTCTGAAGATACTGATTTTGAATTTCACATTTAAACAATCAAATTGTTTAAAAGATGTGTAGGATCCTTTCAAATAGCAAAAAATGAAAACCAAAGCTGGTCAATGGTCAGTCATTCAAAAATGAGAAAGATGAATCATATCAAGTAGGGTAGAGTGAAGAAAAAGGATATGTACAGTTGCCAGATTTTGTTTTCTCTTACCTTTAGCTTTTTTATTTTTAAGGTAGATAGTTGAATTTTAGAATAATTAGCTTAGAATTCACTCAAGTTTTTCCAAATAACATGTCTTGTTTTTCTTTTCTGCTTGCCTTCTGATTTGAATCTTGCTAACCTTCCAGATATGATTTGGATGGAGGCAGTCAAAAATTGCTTTGGGGCCATCTGTCTATGAGAGTCTCTGATGTGGTAATTTTTGAAACATAATACTAAGTCTTGAAAATAATGAAGCTGAAATATTGCATTTTTCATCTTGACTCTTCTCATCCTTATATTTTTCCTTCTTAATGGAAATATACCACCTTTATCCTAGAAAAAGAAGTCTTCATATTTTGTACAAAATTCTGAAATGAATTTAGGACCAACATTCTTTCACATGAGAGAAAAGAATTGAAATGTGTAATCTCACCTTTTGAGACCCTAATCAAGTGCATAGAGACTGAAGAATTTTTTTGGTTTATTATTAAAATGGAAGCTTTAAGTGTTCCTCAACTGTTTTTCTTGAGACAGTACAGTGTGGACAGTGAATGGGTTCCTGGATATGACTGCCTTGATTAGAATGTGCCCTTCATTGCTTATACCTAGTGGCTTCCCTATGCCTTGATTTCTTCAGCTTTAAGATGGGGATGGTGATAGGATCTTTTTCATAAAATCCTTGTGAGTACAAATTCAGTACACATAAAGCGCTTAGAACAGAGCTGTTTCTCTTCTCAGGTATTTTTCATGGTCTAAATTTTTCTAAATAATAAAGTAGCTCAGGAAAAATAAAGGCTAATGAAAAAATGGTGACAACCACTTTATGATTAATAACAATTTTCTTGGCTATGAATGCTCCTTTGGATTTTCCTTATCCAACATTTCAGGGACTCCTGATGCTTTCATTATTTGGGTGGGAGAAAGGGAGAGAATGAAATGCAAAAGCAAATTTTTAGTAGACTGTCCTTACAGATGAAGGAGCATTACAAGTGCTTCAATATTCAATATAATCTATGGTGGTTGAACTTAATAATAAAATGCACTTTGGCTTCATCTACTCTTTTGGGTTCAATTAGAGAGAAACATGATCTTTGGCGCATCACCAAGAAAAAAAACTTCATAAAATTCCAGGGGACCAAATGTTTCTGTAGTATACAAATTTGTTCTCATACAAATGATTATATCCTGAAAAAAGAAATAAAATAAGAAAAGATTTTGGGAAGTTTCCTAACTTTTTAGAGCATATCTATGTCCTTTGATTATTACTGAAAAGGTTTTGTGTAGGATTGATGATAGAAATTGCTATAATTTTCAGGACTCCAGCTGAATTTCTGCTAAATCCTTTATCTTGAATGGTCTCTTTCTTGATGTGGATGTCCCTGTTCTTAGCCCTGCGAATTCACTCAGGTTTCACTTATTGAAACATTTTTCTGTTATGTGGTGATTTTTTCCACTTCTATGACAATGATGGAGTTACTAGGAATTTTCTTCTTGAAAAGATAAAGT